ATACACACATTCCTTCACATTTAAATTTAAATTAAAGTATTTTAGCTGGGTAAATATGACGCTCTTTGTATAAAAACAAAACAAAACGTATCTTCTTATATATCGACTTTGTCCACTTCGATCAACTTTGTTTCCTCCGGCTTCAATTTCCATCACTCTCGTTCGTTCTCTCTATGTCTGGTCAGACATCAATCTGTTCCACCTAACGTGCCCCCTAGAGGCCTGGAGCATTGTGTGTTTTGGGGTTTGTCTGTGTTTTTGACTTTGCATATCATTTTTGTATTTGCAGCGTTTTTCTGTTGCGTTTGTTTTCGGGGTTTGTGTGTTGCATTTAGTTTGCATAGTTTCTGTAAATGCAGCGTTTTTTTGTTGTATTTGTTTTCAGGGTTTGTTTGTTTTTCATTTCATTATTTGCAGCTTATGTACAGTATACATTTTTGGCCATTGTTCCGCGTTTGCACCTGCCAGCCACCGTAACTTATAAATATATTTTCAGTGTTATATATTTTTCTAACAATCAAAATATACAAGATGTGAGAAAAAAAGTGAAACATTTCCTATTTGCAATGCAAAGGAATAGTTGCACAAATGAGATACTCATTTATAGAGCCTCAAAACTGCCCTTAAGTATGGTAAGTACTTATTCTTATTTTACACCTAAGGGATTAGGTTCAAATTGAAGTAGCAGCTATGGCAGGTCAATTTCAGTCCCTCATAATTATAGTGAAATTAAATTTGTGCGTGCTTGAAAGCTTTTATAATGACTTTTTTAAACAGCCCTGTTTCGCTGTAATTGAGGTATTTACTGTCTAGATTTATAATCGTCCCTCTTATCCTTACTGCGTAGGCTAACACTACAGATTTCATATTATGTGCATGTGTGTAGGCCCATCTCTCAACATCATTATTTACAGACCGAACCAGTGCACATATGATTTCCAATTAATCTGTGAGAGTTTTAAAGAATGTGTCTGTGCCTTTGTCAAGCAGGCAGATAGAAGATGGAGATAGACAGTGACAGAGAGATAGACAGAGTCGGGGGGGGGGGGGGGGGCTGAGGATGAAGGAAGTCCTTGTCAACATTGCCTCACATCTCCGGCTCTGCGGCTCACAGTTTGAACAGGGAGGAAGGTAATAATGCAACAGCAGAGCTTTATCTTTTTCATAAGAAGGTGCAGCTCACGACTTACGGGAATAAGAGAACGATGAGCCAATCAGCTCTCACCGGGGAGGATGTCTCAGGCCAGTTACGCCTCCTAAGGCTGAGTAAAGCTCAGAGGGGAAGAACACATTGCCTCTGTAATGTGATCAAAACAGATGACACTCATTGACTCATTATCATCTGTAGGTCACACACAAATGACTGGTCAATGGGTCTTTTCTTCTGACTGCTAAACATAGACAGTGTTTTAAAGTTGTTTTTTTCAGCCGGCTCTACTTTGGTGATGACTCACTTTTGAAGTGAGCTCAGAGAGAGTGACTCACCAACAGTCCATGCAAATACCCAACCCAAACCGTGTTGGACTCTGAATATTGTTTGCATGATGGGTATCTCCACGAGTGCAGGGAAATGTGTGGTCAACAAACAAGCAACATGAACAATAGGACAACACAGATCACTGTTGCGTCTATAGAACTGCCCAAAATGTAAACTTGTATCTAAGATTAAAAGGAGTTCAAAGTTTTACCTGTGCCTGAATTGCTTTTCTAAGCTGGCTCTGAGGTGCATAGCCTACTGGGTTTGAAAAAGAGTTTGGACCTAGCAAACATTTAGCTTAGCATGACTAATCAGTTTTTCCGCTATCGGCCTCCTTGTCAATAATATATTAGGTAGTCTTTGCTCCAAAGAGCCTGAAACATGGCCTATACTAGCTGACAATGTGCCTAATTCAAACTATTTTCTAAAGAACTTTATCCAATTTCCTCATATGTTTGGGACAGCGGCCACGTCTACTTCTCTGATCTGATAACAGCCATATGTAAATCATCGCCTATCAGCCACTTCTGATGAAACAACAATTTGCTTACCCAAATTGAATGGCTCCAAACTAGTAAAAATCAGCAATGTGAATTTGTTGTTTCCATCAAATGTATTCCAATCTGTATGCTAAGCTAAGCTAACTGGCTGCTGGCTGTGGCCTTTTGTTCAACATGGTATCAATATTCTCTTATTTTCTCCAACTGGGGTCAATGGAACCAGGTTGTAAACACAATAATAACATATCATCACCTTCTAAATGTATAGCAAACAAACAGTTACATATTTACAGATCTAGCAGTTACAAAGCACCATTATAATCATTTTGTAGAATCTTTCTGTCTAACTTCTCGTTTGCTACTGAGCAGGGAGTGTTAAAGAAAAGTGGCAACCATCATTGCAAAGAAGACCAAAATAGATTCTATCTTTGGTTTTCATTCAACGATTACCTGCCATGCCTTTTGCATCCATAATTGAATAAAAACTGAAAGATGAAGAAGACTGAACAAATAAAACATGCTTTACAGCTGAAATACTAGGAACATATGGAAATGCAGAAATTCTAAGCTGCATTTTAGAACATGCTTAACAACGGTAGCCGACATGCAGAGTCAGATGTGGCATGTGGTTCTCAGAAAGAGAGGGGAAATTAATGGTGAGGTCTTTCGCAGAAAACTACCTGTGGTCTACAACACACTGTAATCTTTTCAGGGAAATTGTATGCTGTTTGAGTACCTGCTGAAGAGAACCAGCATCACATCACAAGGACTACTGAAGACTGACACTCCACTTTGAAATGCCATTTTATTTTTAGGGCTCATTTCCTTTGATGGCCTCCTTCTATTATTATCGGATACCAAAATACACATTGGGACTTGCATGGAGCCACTGCAGGACTTTGAATTGGTTTATTTATGACTTGAAACGTGTCTGAGAATAACGACGGCCAATATGGCGACCATTTGCATTTGAGTCCCCATCCAGTCATTCTAAACATAGCTGGTAAATTCACATTGTATTCACCTGACATACACTGATGGGAACCAACCACCATGTTGCTTGCGGTTGCGTAAATCTATGTTTCGCTGCCGGTAGCGCCGTCTGACAAGAAGATTAGCGGTGAGGCCAGAAGTCCCACAGGAGCGTCACAACTGATTAACCCCCCAACTCTTATCGTTTCAGAGGAACAGATACCTGATAGGCTGCTGCCTGCTGGCCACTATCTCCACTCAATGTCTGCATTAACACACCAGAGCATCCTCTCAGTGGGATTCAAACCAAAGATGATAGTGGCTAACATCCAGCTGTGAAGTTGGTTACTATAACTTCCAACTGATGCTTTAAGTAGTATATTTATCCTTAACTTAAGTCAGGGATATCGAAAGTGTTTTCACTTAGGGCCTCATACATTAAAATATACGAAAGGCTGGGCCACTCACTAGAGGTGAGATATATTGCCTCATAAATTAAGTGATAAGATAGCAAAGTCAATCTAATATAGGTTAAAATATGCTTGATACTTGAATATGCTTTCAGAAAACAAGCTCACAGCTTTTCATAGGGTTTCATTTATTTTATATAAGTTATTGGGCTTTTCTTTTATCAACAAGGGTTGAAAATGTTTTAAACTTTAATTGACTGAATTTCTTTGAAAAGTGGGCTTATAAAAACATGAATACTACTGTGTAATATATTTTTACAGTACAATATAAGAAAAGCACAAGTTTTAGGAGTGGGCCGTATTTCAATATACTTTTAGAATTTCTTATGGGCCACAGTTGGCCGGGGGCTGTAGTTTGGACACCCCTGACTTAAGTCAAAGTTCTGTTGATATTTTGAAAAATACTCCAAGCTTTCAAGCAATTACAAATAAAAGTAATACATTTAGATGTTTTTACTTCAGTAAAAGTTAAGTATCACGAGTAATAGTACTTTGGAGACCAGCGGTTCCAAAGGCCAAAGCATGCAAGTCAATGTCTGCCTTGAGATTGTGTGACGCAATTTACAACTATACAAACAATTATGAATGGGTTTTTTTTTTTTTTTAGGAAAGTCACATGCCCGACACTGCAGACATCTCACTGTCTGGCTACTTCAGTTTATTTAAAAATGATTGAAAAAATATGTTTGGATTTATTGTAGTTAGAAAATATTAAATGAGTAATGTAGTTGTTTTATCAGGTTGTATTTGACTTTATTGAATCAAAAGTTATACAGAGTGATACAATCATTTCAATTTTTCAGGATTATAGTTGTACTTTGTTGTACCGTTGGTATTTTTGCAGTACAACTACATTTTTGTAGAGGAGCCTTGTGTCAAGTTTAAAAACTTGACATGAGTTTACATGACTCTGGGACCAGGAAGGAAGGTTCCTGACTGAGTAAATGTAAGTAAGTGGCAGCCATGATGAGAGCTAGTAGAATTCTATAAATGCTGTGAGACGATGCTTCCATGCATCCTTTCTTTTCTCCTTTAGCAGAGGGAACACTGGATCATCCTCTATCAAAGGTATATTTAACATAAAAGCTGTTTTATACATTATGACAGATTAATGTGAGTGAGTCATTTCCTGTTCCTGCGTGTGCATCTTTGGATGGATTAAGGTGGAATGGATGAATAGGTTTCTATCACTAATGAACTCAGTGCTGCTTCCTAGTCTTAAACACCTCAGTTTTAGAAAGTAGTAGAAAGTCAATTCCAGGAATGTGTTGAGATAGCGTTTTCCTATTTGTATGCAACCCGCCCCACTTTTGTTGCTATCTGCCTTCCACCAGCCGTCTCCTCTTATCTCTTCATCCTCTCTGCATGCGCTGCTTCTCTACAAAAGGTGTCAAACAGGAAACTTGCTGAGAAATGGTATATACTTCTGACCTAGTACATTCTAATTGTGTGTTTGTAACTGTTTTACATGTATGACATTTGGTTCAGTCTAAGCACTTTCTTTAACATGACTACTTGGAGCTACAGTACACGGCAAGGGTCACAACAACATTCTGTAAGATAATACGAAGGAGTCAAAAGTCATTGTTAAAAAAATATTTATTGAAATCGTATAAAAATTGTTTCCAAGATCATTTAGAATTCTAGTTCGAATTGATGAAAAAAACAATCCAACCTGCAGTCATGAAAACAGAAAGGTTTTCTCATTCACACACACATTCAGAATCCACTCGCTCCCTCAGCAGACAACAGCGTAACAAAAACTGTTACCATCAGTAGACGTCCAATGTTCAGATAAATTAAGATGGAAGTGCTTTTTTGGGACTATTTACATGTTAGATACATGACACACAAACATCTGCTCTTTAAAAAATAATTCCACGCCATAAATATGGTCAGAAATAAAAAATCTTTGTTTGTCTCTTTAAATAATCCGTGGACCCTTCAGTGACTGGAATGAAATACACACAAACAGCCAAAACAATTCTCTCATAGATAAATAAATAAATTCTGTGTTCATTAAATGTGTAAGTCACGGCAATAATAAATATCATTATTATTATTATTTACAATGCTTGTCCCCACTGAATATTTAAGACCTGTGTGAGGCACTGTTTGAACGTTAACATTTGAAGTGAAGAGCAGAGGATGTTGTATTTTGGTATGGTTGCATTGTGGTGGATGTGAAGTCAAAAGAAGGAGGTAAGTCCAGTGTTTCTTTGTTTGCACACGTTGCTATGAGGTTGCTAATCACATGGGAGTGATAGCAGTGGTTATAAATGACATAGGCTTTGCTGATCTAGGCCCATGAGAGGGAAACAATATAAAGCCTTGTAAGGAGCTAAAAAAAAAGGGTCTCAGACAAGGAGCCTTTTTTTGCTTTCAAGTATTTTCAGGGTCTCCCCAACAATCTCACAGAAGGCACTTCTTTTGTATTCCTCTTGCACCTCTGCTCATCCCAGAGAGATGCAGCAGTGCAGCGAGAGATTACATAACGCAGCCATTCAGCGAGCGCATGTGCTGTCAGCGCAGAGCATGCCCTACTACAGTCTGATAAACACCCAACAGCGGGGGGGAAATCAAGTAGTTTGGGGTGATGAGGGGCGGAGAGCGCTCCAGGTTGAAAACAAGCCATGATTGTGTAGTCATGACCTTAGTTTTCTTTTAGTCCTTTGACACCTTACTCGTGCCTGTGTCAGGACGGCCAGCCCATGCGGCGCCCCTCCTCTCTGCTTCAAGTCTGTTACTTTAGTAAAAGTCTCAGTTCAGTCCTGTTTGCCTCCATCACCGAGCCGCGGCTACGGGAGTTGGCGTGAAGGCGGTGGGCTCGTGGGCGATGCTGTGCAGCCGGATCATTGTGGACGGGACGACTGAAGAGGATGTGCTCTGCATCCACGAGTGATTGATGATGTCCTCGAAGGAGGGGCGATCGGCCGGCCGCAGAGAAAGACACCACTTGATCAGCTGCTGGCATTCTGAAGGAGGAAGAGGAGGAGAAGTAAGTATGCTGCAATGAACCGAGTGTGACACATCATGTGAATGTCAACGAAAATGCTGATGCATGTTTTGGAATGTGAATGTACCTGTTGAGATTCTTCTCCGGAAGAGGACCTGCCCTCTTGTGATCTCCTCATCGTGTTCAAATGGAATGTCCCCACACACCATGTCGTACAGCAGGACACCCAGAGACCAAACTGTGGCAGAGCGCCCGTGATAGCGGTGATATTTGATCCACTCTGGTGGGCTGTACACTCTGGTGCCTGTCAGGAAAAAAAGAAAAACACCTTTAAAAACTGTACAAATGCCCACGTATTAGCTAAGCACTCCAGAATCTATTATTGTATTTCAGTCAAATTGAAAATGAAAGCATTGCAGGTGTGGTTGAATTATTAACAAAGAGTGCAGCGTTATCTTGTTTGGGAGGCTGTTATCTGAGCTCAGGTGGCAGAGAGCGTGACAGTCTGTGTGTGTGTGTGAGAGAGCAGAGTGTGTGTGAGAGGGGGGAGCGGACATGTGACTTTGTTTACAAACTTTGAGTTGTAAAAATGCAGCTTCCCTCCTATGGGGGGCGCCAAAGCAAAGGCAATGCTGCTCAGCCTGTATTAATATGCTGCTTTGGAGGGCGGATGTCAGAAATGACACAACCTTGGAATTCCTGCCCCTGCCTAAACCAGGGCTACTGGATGATGTTGAAACTAATCAAATAAAAATAAACACGTCGAAGACTGTTTTGATCTGTGACTCACCATCAAAGTCTGTGTAAATGGTGTCTTTCAGCAGGGCTCCGGACCCAAAGTCGATGAGCTTGATCTCCCCGGTGCGGAGGTCGATGAGGATGTTTTCATCCTTGATGTCGCGGTGCACCACGCCGCTGTTGTGGCAGTGGCGCACGGCCTCCAGCAGCTGGCGGAAAAAGCTCCGCGCCAGATCCTCCGGTAAGGCACCTTTCTCTGTGATGAAGTCGAACAAGTCTTTGACGTTTTCGGGCCTCTCCATTACGATGATGAAGCTGTCCGGTCGCTCGTACCAGTCCAGCATTTTGATAACGCCGCGGAAGCCCGAGCTCACTTTCTTCAACAGCACGATCTCCATTGGGACCCGCGAGCCATTAGGCTGAAGAGATAATAATAATAACATAAGCACTTCGATCATCAAAGGCAAAAATAATGCTATAATACTTCGAATATTTCACTTCATTGTCCATTATTAAAGCAATATACTACTATTGTGTATAGTATACCGTTAATTAGGTGAATATTAGCGCTAATAATGATTTCTTACCAGCTCTCCCCACTCTGAGACTCTGTCCTTGGCTACGTGTTTGACAGCAACCTAGAAGGGCAAAGAAGACACCGCGTCAAATAACATGTACAAAAAGCATATAAACATGCAAAGCAGCTAGTTTAAAGTGTATTCTTAAAATAAGACATATAAGGCGTATTTACCGGAGCTCCGTCAGCCACCCTCGTACCAGTGTAGACGGTGCCGAAGCCCCCGCTACCCAGCACCGCGCCGACCTGATACAGCTTCTCGAAGGGCTCCTTCTCCTTCCCTGTGGACAAAACATAAACACAGCCGGTGAATACCCGGGAAACTAAGCTCTGAAAATACCAGTGCATACGCCAAAGAAACAGCAGTTTAGAAATATCAAAAAGCAATAATACTGATAATACGTTGTTAATACATAATAGTATGCTCAAAAACAACTGCCGTGCTTGAAAATAATCAAGTATAACACGTAAGGATAAACTACGATAAGCGGGCTGACGGCCATTGCTGCAGCCCCGTGCTCAATGACAACACGGAGGAGAAAAAGAAGGGCGTCTAACCTTGATGAACTTGGTGCTGCATTTTCGCCGGCATGTCTACGGTGGAGATGTGGGCAAGAGAATTCAGCTTGGACAGAAGCATTCTTTTAAGGATATATCCACCAGTGGTTTACGAAGTGTGTGTGTTCTTCGTTGTTGTTCGTTTCAGCAATATTATTCCGTTTGTATGACTCTCCCGTCTCCCGTGTAGAGCTTAGAGTCCACGTTGCTGGAACAAAAATGCGGTAAGGGTCCTCTCATCCAGATGAAAGAAAAGCCGCTTGTGAATCCAGGAAGATATAACCGAAAATGTCGTCCCACCTAGAGTATGTATTGTGTTCACAATACAATCTACTGCAATACACAGCTGTTCCTCGCACTGTTTTGTAAACAGTTATAGGATATAAACAGATAAACACAGCGTATGAGAAATGTCTCTGTCAGACACCGGCTCTTGGAAACAACTAGTGAGGGGGGAGGACTGTTATAAACCAGTAGTAAGGGGGCGATGCCAAATGCACACGTCAATGTTTCTCCACCCCTTTCTGCTGTCTGCACCAATAGGAATGCGAAAACGCAGTCCAAATGCACGTCAATCACATAATGGAAATACAGCCAACCTTATAACCGGCTGGGCCAGACACAGACGTGGCGGGAATAAAAACGCGCGAGAAAAAATAAAGAGAAAGGGGGGTGGTGATACTTAAATTGTCTTTATGAATTCAAGTTGGAGAGAAATGCTAATTCGCAGCCAAGGGCTCCCCAAGCTGTCTCCTCTCTTTTGAGGGAGACTCAAATAAAAGTATGATCATAGGCCTACTATTATTAATAATAGACTTCACAAAACAATATAGTGTATTGTTCTAAGGAGAAACTAGTTTCTTATTCTATTTTAAAATATACCGTTTCACTTTATTGCAGATGTCTCCTATTACCTTGCTTTTTAATTGTCCACTTTTCTCTACGTGTTGTGTCTGCACTTAAGTTAGTTGCACTAAAGCACCCACATGGCTTAATAAAGCCATTTTGCACGATGAGTCACACACAACCTGAGAGAAGTTCATCAATTGCATTCCAGCTATTCTAACCCCCTGCCATTTACCTGATTATTTTCACATTAAACACTGAGGTTTATTGGCTGAAGTGAAGTCCAGGACTATGCTCTTTATTTGAGTTGCCTGACAATGCCTCTCTACTGGCTGCGCATCAAAGCGCGCCGCGGAGAATAGGCGCATTCCTGTCATTCTTTCAGATTGGGTGGCCCGTTTGCAGTCGTTCACAGGATGTGGGAAACTAGAGATAAAAGACTTCCATTTACCCCCCCTTTTTACCCTTCTCCCCTCCTCCTCTCTCCGCCCTTCTTTTCCCGCGCATGTTATTGTCTGAATGGCATGGTTCTCGCTCTCCCCCATGACTGAGTTACGTTTTGTTTTCCTTTGAGATTTCATGGCAAGTTGTAAAACCATCCTATTGCTGATCAATTGTACACGTTTGTAATGTGTCCAACCAATCAAACTGCAGGAAAATCTGGAATTCAAAAGCAATCTTTAATTGTTATGATCAACTTCACAACAAGTTCGGAAAACTTCACTATTTTTAATAATAAAGACGAATTCATCTAATCTTCCAATCATGTTGTATGCATGCTCAAGCAACCCTTTATTTAATGTATATTATGTTAAATGGGCCAACATGTGGAGATCTGCAAACCAAAACAAAAATATATAACCCAAACGGTCTTGTTCATACAGATTAGTGAACTATTGCTCAAACTGTCTGCAGGTGAGCCCCTTTGTCTGGAATGAAATTTGGAGCATACTTTCCTGACGCCTTTGGCAAATTCCTTTAAAAGCCTACCTCTGAAGTTTTTGAAGACAATATGCAAATGGCGTGTTGGCACTGAGTGTCAATATTCACTTTTGACAGAGTTAAGCACATCCTGTTTTTCTAGTTTCTTAAATATGTGTGTGTAAACATTTAGCAGATACTTAGCCTCTTTTTTGTAGCCTCTTATTGATTTTATAGAATGTACAGCTTGATGTTAGAAATCACAATCAGAAAACAATATTACATTGTAAAAAAAGAAGAAGTAAATATTGCACTTAAAGGTGGGGTAGTTTGAGAAACCGGCTCGAGATACACTTTTAGTTATATTCCATGGAATGCTCTTAACATCCTGATAGCAATGAATATCTTAAGTGCTTGAGACAAAAAATCCATACAAACATTTCATCTGTGGAAGCCGTGGTACTACCTGCCTGTCAGCCTTCCATCTGTGCACAAACTTATCTCGTGCCCTCATTGGTCATGTGCGTGTTCGTGTGTGTTGGAGGAGGGGCTCTGTAAGGAAGTGGCAGATCTTTTCCGGCTGTGTATTTTCAAATTCTAACTCACTCGAGCTGGTTTCTCCAAAAGTACCTACCCCACCTTTGTTATTGCAACAGTGTTTGTGTGCAACATGTGAAAGAGATATGATACTGTAAGGCTACTGTATTACCAAGTGAGAGTAGTTCAAGGGTTCTATACAGTGGCGGCCGGCCCATAGGGGCGCTAGGGGCGCCGCTCCACCTCTTCCCACATACAAAATTAAAATTAAAAAAAATATTTTTATTTTTATTTTTAATAAACAAGGTCAATATTATATAATTGGTATCAGTAAAATGTATAATCTACAATAAAATCTCGTTTAAAATTGTGTTACGACGATGTCTAAAGTTACTGATAAGTCACATGTTTCCTGCCTGGCCTTGCCCATGTGTCATTACCTTTATATATACAGTCTATGGTCATTACCCTCTCTCGTCTGGGCGCTAAGAAAGGAGCCCTCAACCAGTGCAGCAGCAGCCACTAGCAGCTGACTGTTGCTATCTGTAAACGATAATGCCGAAACATAATTTCAGCCAATCAGCGTCGTGAAATCTGATGATCACCGGGCGCCAATGTCAGCGCCCGGTCCAGTCTGTGAGTAGTTTGGACACTAGTGACTCGTATCCGGTGGGGTGACGCAGTACGGCAGTAGTTGATGAGGATGGCTTCATGTGCAGGTAGAGTCTCCGGACCTCGGTCCCCGCCCAATTCCGTTCAAGAGCTAATCTCCAATCATTTCGAAAGGAGAAGTTTGGGAGATAAACTGTTGCTTAGAGACCTTGGACCGGACCAACCCGATTTGTATATATCGCAGCAAGCTCGTGAAAAAACGTATCAACGAGGCTTCTCACGTAGCTAGTACACCAGAAAGGCATGGCTAGCTGGATGCAAACAGGTAAATGCTGTCTTTTGTTTCCCATGCTTGCTCTTCAAACAGCCGGGGACAGATACGATCTGTTCAGAAACTAGACAAAAGTTAAACAAGTACAAACCACATCTGTGTCATGGAGAATACAGTCGCTGGTTTATTTATATCTGTATAGGCCGTTGTTGTGAGTGTGGACGGTCGGAGCATTTACAACGTTAGCTTAGCCAATCTCCATTTAGAAAACACGCATTTTAAAAGGTTTTTCGCCTGCCGTCTGTCTGCAGACTTGTCAAAGCATTAATTCATGGTTTTTACTAACCGGTATCAGTATGTTGTTACTTCGGCATCATTTTGAAACGTATTACAATTAAATCACGGTCAAATATGTTCATCTTGTTCTAGTTGTAGCCCCCTTGCCAGCGATTCTCTCTCTAGTTTAGCATACTCAGCCCGACTCAGCCTGGTTGTTCCTGGCCCTAGAACCACGATTTTATGGGGCCAGAAAAACTGTGAATTAGGACCCGTTAGCCGGTACTAGGCCAAGTGGAAACGCAACCAAAAACGGGCCCCGCACGGCTCGGCACGCTTAAAGCGAGCTCCGCGCTGCAGTGGAAATGCGCCATTACATCACCAGAAGTCCTAATTTAAGGAGTCATTTCTCCCAAAAACATTTTTTTTACTCACTATCAACAGCCCCACCAAAAATATTTTCCATCAGCCGCCACTAGTTCTATAGTATCTTGAGTGGCTCAGAAAGAGGAGTGTGCACCAAGTTCATGCTCAGTCAGGGGCATAGGAGAGGTGTGTGAAAATGGAGAGTTCCAAAGCGGTAAGTGTGACAGTGACCGCAGGCCTATGAAATGCCACCAGTGAGCGCATCTCTGCTGGAGGGGCTGCCGCACATATCCCTGCCTGCATGATCAGCACGGCTCAAATGACAGCCATCTAACCCCATCTGTCAGAAGGACAGATTATTAGTTGCACTGCTCGCTTTGGGGCCAGCTGCTCAGTCCAATCTCTGGAAGTGTCCCCCGAGGAGAGGGCAACAGGTTCTTATAGGCCTACTGTAAAGCAGGGCATCACCGCTTTTTTAAAGTCCCATATCTGATGAGCTCTTGCCACAGTCACTCAAGTGTTTGCCACCTTTACTTTTACTCCTCGGTCATGCACTGCACTCTGAAACTGTAGAGGTCACAGGGGGGAAAAGCACAGCAGCAGTAGGCTTACACAACGCCTCTATGAATTACTTCCTCTTTCTAGAGAAATTGATACTCTGCACACAACAACGCCCACCTATATTTCTCCGGAATGTTTGACAAAAATAGATTGAATAAACACATGCACAATCCACTAAAAAACATCACGTTCCTGAATTTAAAATAATTATTTGAAATGCATATTGACTATATTTATGAAACATGACGTTTTTTAATATGGAGAAATATTATGGACTAATATGCAGATGTCAATATATCTGTTTTTATGAAATGTCACTCTATTACAATTTTTTTTTAACTTTTATTTATTGACTTAGTTCATTAACAGATGCACTTTGCTTGGAATCAAAACTATTACAAAATAAAGTATAGGTAAATCACAAAAAAATAAAAAATAAAATAATAGAACAAATATGACTTGATCTTAATGATTTATCTTCCTTTTTTTGTGCAACATTGTGTCATAACCTGGAGGTGAATTTTTCCATAAACTCTGTTATCTACCTTAACCTCCGGCACACCCCACTCCACCCCCGCCTCCACACTTCATCACAATAATGCCTATGTAACATATTAACCACCTTAAGCACACAGGGGATGATTCACTCTCCCCTGCAAGGCCTCTTACATTCTGCTTCCACCGTCTCTCTCCTTCAACTCCTCTGCATGTCGTAAAAGGCTCAGCCACTTGTCTATACATGTTCCTCCATCAATCATGACATCCAGCCAATCACCTCTCCAGCTGTCCTCAGATCCCACCTGCTGCCAATCTGTAAGTGACAGGAGAAATAATCATGGAGGTGGATGAGACAGGCGTGGGCTTGCTCAGGGTGTTTGATGGTTCTGGGTTCACCTCAAATGGATTATACATAATATAGAACATATCCTTCCTGGTCACTCCCATGTCATGTACAGACAGAGATATTCACATTCAGTAGCATCCTCCAATACACTTTTCATCATAAGATATGTTTTGTATCTCCAACAAGCATAAGCCTGGGGGGGGTTTGGTCATGTGTGAAC